GGTTTGTGGATTTGATTCAAATGGTTGAAGATTTAAGGCAGACTCGGTGGCAGAACTTTACAGAACATCAGAGCTCAGTGGGGAGCAGCAGATCCAGTTCCTGATGGGTTCCTACCAGTTCAGACCAACTCCAGAACCAGAACCAGATTCTGTCAGGAAAGCATAAACTCTATCCTGACCAGAACACACCGACCCAAATGGATCCTGATCCCTGTGAGGATCCAATGAGAACAAGAAGATCCGCCAGCTGCAGTATGGAGTAAAATATGTTCCATTATTTTGGGAAAGAATTAGTTTTGTAAATAGAAATATTTACGGAGGGCTTTTGTCATCTGGCGTTGAGGGGGGGAACAAGTTAATTTCCTTGATGCCACCTGTGAGTCCAGGGCCGGTTCTCAATCTGTGTACTCTTGAAACGTCATCAGCCCTAGAACTGTTGCAATTCACAAGAAGAAGAAGAGCGAGAACAGACAAAGTCCCTGGATGTCGTTCTCGCCCCTCCCGCTTTACCCAGCATGCATCAGAGCAGACCTGAACCCAATAGAGAATTTTTGGAAGGAGCTCAAACTGTGTTTCTCAGCAACAGCCCAGAAACCTGACTTTTCAGGTTTTCAGCCGTCTTTTCTGAAATAACGCTTTACGATCAACCGGAAGCAATTCCGCGTGTTTACGCAGTTTTTGCTTATATCTGATATATAATATACAATTAATACGTAATATTAAGAGAATAAAGTCGTAACATTACAGAATGAAGTCATCATACAGCAAACTGTTTCAGAAAGAAAGCTTGGAGCTCCGCCCAGCAGATGACGTCCGACCAGTTCCACCAATCAGCCACCAGAGTCCACTTTGACATCCTGCCCAGTTTGATGCTGCTGCTAAAAGATTTCCTGATTTATCAAACCGATGCTAAAGTAGAACTTCACATGATGCTCCACATGACTCATTTTAGGGAAGAAAGGGCTTCTTGGAGGAGTTGTCATAAAATACAACTTGATTCTTGTAATTTTACGACTTTATTCTCGAAATAGAAGAAAATATACCCCTAGCCTGGCTCTAATACTCCGTCATAATTATTCCATCTAAAGAAATTATTTTAAGAAGTAATCAGGGAGTTGAAATTAACTAGATTGTGGCCTGAGATAAGGAAAATAGAAAAGTGTAGTAGTATAAGGCAATAACCAAAACCAATAAATATAAATGATTGAATTAAATTGATTATATTAAGATAAAGTGAGGAAAATGAGAGAGTCTGATGTGATCGACAGAACCGATCATGTGACCTGAAAAGCCAAACAAGCTGCTATGCTAGCTGATAGCAACCTTTATATTTAGCTACATTCAGTTTTTCTGTCCACAAAACAGATACTTGGTCCAGTTCAATCATTCTGCTGCTTTTTAACATGAACTCCAGAATAAAGAAGATTTTTAGTCGCTCTGTTTGGAGTAAAATCAGACCTCTGTTCGGGTTTTGGTTGTTTTACAGAAGCTGTCACAGCAGAGGGAACAAAAACCGAAGTTCCGGACTCAAACAAACACCGACAAACTGGTTCATGGTTCCGGTCCAGACCCACAACCCGTCCCGGATCCAAACACCTACCTGGAATGTCGGCCCGAGTTGTAATTCGCGATTCTCGTGGAGCTTTTCCGAACCGGATTCAACGGGATGCTGTCAGCCATGTTGGCTGGGCACGGGCGTGATGACGTCATATTGAGACGTACGTTCTGTCAGTGAAGCGTTCGCGGTCTCACGGAATTACGGGAATTTAGGGTGAAATAGCTAAATATTATTTTCATGTAAAGTAAAATTTTTGGGGACATAATCTAATTCTTTAAATGTAAACAGACGAGGATTAGGACCACTGAAAAAATGAAAAAAGTTAAATGATTTTTAAATTTTATTTTAGTTTAATATGGAAAAGAGTCAGAATTCAGGGGGGCAGCAGGACGTGTTCATTGGGAACAGAAAAGCATGGAGTAAAAAACAGGGCAAGGGGTTTAAATATATTATGCATGAAGTGAATTTTCCATTCAATTAGGTTTAATCAAAGTTTATATGACTTCCAACTGAAAATTTTTATTTTTGGCTTGAAAATGTTCATTTGGATTATTGTTAAAATCAAAATAAAATCCCTTTGCATAGTAAAAAAGCAACTCAAAAAATTATCTAAAAGAACAAATAAAGCTATTATTTGGAATATTAGGTCATTCATAATTTGGGAATTTTATATATTTTAACTTAAAATTACAGTTTTCTATAGAACCTGAATTAGAACTCAAGAAAAACTGATAAATTCAGCTGTAAAAATGAGAGTATATATTTTTTTTTATTGTTTTGAAAAAAACATTTAGCAGATCAAAATTGGGCTCCTGTCTCAATACCGACACAATATCACCTTATTGTTTTTAAATAATTAGTAAAACAGAATAAAAAATGAAATAGATCCAAAGGCCCTATCAGTAACCATGTCTGTTCAAGTGCATGTTAGCATTAGACTTTCTTTTAGTATTATGTCTTTGGTACAGGGGCCATAACAGGGCCAGGACATGATCTACAGGGGCACTGGCCCCCGTTGGCCCCTGTCTAGAACTGTCCATGGCTCCAAGGAACTTGCAGAGATCAAATATTAAAAGCCTGAGCACAATAACTCCTCTAATAGGTTTTAAAATGACTAAAAATTCCTTACTTTTTGTTTTTTGCCTTCCAAACATTTTCAGGAGTTATATTCCAAAATAGGGCAGAACAGAGAAGCTATTTGTTGCTAATATTTGAATATTTAATGTTTAATGAATGGGTTTTAATTAAATGCGGCCCAATGATTAATCTAATGTGCACTGTTTGAATATTTCTAAATATTTTCTGCAGTCTTGTTAGGGCGTCCAGCAACATTAGAACTCGTCTTATTTAAATTCTCTCAGGGATTATAATTGTTGTGTATTTTCTGTGCCATAAATTAAATTAAATTTCTGCTGGAGCAAGACCACAGCAAATATTTAGAAATCAATTCTTTCCAACAGGAAACAAAACAATGAAAGCATCTGCATTTCAAAATATTTCACTAAAGACGAATATACTTGCTTAAAAAACTTGCTATAATAAAAGATTTATGAGTATATCTATAGATATCTGTGTATATTATCAACTATCAGTCTGTGCAGGCGCCCCTTTAGGCTTTGCACTGCAGTGGAGTGGAGTTGATATAATCAATACCAGCACAGCAGATAAGTTTACAGTTTGGTGATTTGGACACTGTGTCTATTCTATCAGGCTAATAATGCATATCTGTCCTCATACCTAAGGACAATGGAGAAAAACAAAATAACCCAGGAGTCATGTGTTTGGACTGCAGAAAGATCCTGGGGTAGCCAGGGAGAGAGTCTTGAACCCCTTTACTAAAAACTGCCCCCCCGTGCAACTTTTACAGAACCTTTATGGCTGAAATCTACTGGGAGGGAATGAGAATGTGGGCGTGTCTCTCTCTGCATTCTGGGAACTGATTGGATGGACTATGGCAGAGGGAGACATCCTGTCTGGAAGGAGACAGAAATGCCAATGATTGGATGAAACGAAATTACATCTATGTCCTAAAGGTTCTGAAAATATTCAGAACCTTTAGGACATAAAAACAAAGCTAGAAATCCTGTAAAGCAAACAATATTAATAGATGGATGGATGAAGGGATGATGGATGATAAATGAATGGATGATAGAGGGATGGATGGATGAATGATGGATGGATGGATGGATGGATGGATGGATGGATGGATGGATGGATGATGGATGGATGGATGGATGGATGGATGGATGGATGATGGATGGATGGATGGATGGATGATGGATGGATGATGGATGGATGGATAATGGATGGATGATGGATGGATGGATGATGGATGGATGGATAATGGATGGATGATGGATGGATGAAGGGATAATGGATGAAGAGATGATGGATGAATGATGGATGGATGAATGGATGATAGATGGATGGATGGATGGATGAATGGATGGATGGATGATGGATGGATGGATGGATAATGGATGGATGATGGATGGATGGATATTAATGATGGATGGATGAATGATGGATGGATGAATGATGGATGGATGAATGATGGATGGATGAAGGGATGATGGATGATAAATGAATGGATGATAGATGGATGGATGATGGATTATGGATAAATGATAGATGGATGGATGGATGGATGGATGAATGGATGGATGATGGATGGATGGATGGATGGATAATGGATGGATGATGGATGGATGGATATTAATGATGGATGGATGAATGATGGATGGATGAAGGGATGATGGATGATAAATGAATGGATGATAGATGGATGGATGATGGATTATGGATAAATGATAGATGGATGGATGGATGGATGGATGAATGGATGGATGATGGATGGATGGATGGATGGATAATGGATGGATGATGGATGGATGGATATTAATGATGGATGGATGGATGATGGATGGATGAAGGGATGATGGATGAAGAGATGATGGATGAATGATGGATGGATGAATGGATGATAGATGGATGGATGAAGGGATGATGGATGAATGATGGATGGATGAATGGATGATAGATGGATGGATGATGGATTATGGATAAATGATAGATGGATGGATGGATGAATGGATGGATGGATGGATGATGGATGGATGGATAATGGATGGATGATGGATGGATATTAATGATGGATGGATGGATGATGGATGGATGAAGGGATGATGGATGAAGAGATGATGGATGAATGATGATAGATGGATGGATGAAGGGATGATGGATGAATGATGGATGGATGAATGTATTATGGATGAATGGCTGAGCTTCATGATGACCTCTGATACAGGGAACTTCTCAGACTCATTCCTCTTTATTTCCTTTTCCTGCTCAGCGGTTGGAAGGAGATCATCTGAACAGTTTCTGCTCTTTGGGGAAAATTCCACCTTCTGCTTTTTCAGGTTTAGTCATCAAAAAACAGACAAAGTTTTAATGTTTTTATTCAGCTGTGATTCTGAAAATGACAGTTTCTTTAGAACATGGACAACAGGTGTTTCGTTTAGAGTTTGGATTGATTGTGTGCAGCCAGCTGCAGCAGCAGTGTGCAGCTCTGAAGGGATCGTCAGGAACAACCTGAACTTTTTTACTGCGTAGAAAACTTTCCCCCATGACTGCAGCCTGTCCTGCTGCTCTCTGAAACCATGATTTAAAGATGCTTTACAAATACTTTAATGTTTATAATCATTTGCATAAGATTTTTCCCGGTTTTTCTTTAGTTTATTCCGATTTCTTTTCCTTCGTCAATCAGCATGGTAAAATGCCGGTTGCTTCCCAGGTCCATTCGGGTCTTGTTTAGGCCGGGTATCTGGCCGCTGGCGGCGCTCATGACGGTAAGAGGGTGAAGCTGAGTGATGCTTCTGTTCTGGATCACAGAGATCTCGTTGGTCTTCATGGCCAGGCTGTTGGTGATCGCCGTGGCGTAACGGTTCCAGAATCCAGGCTCTACGTTCACAGTTCGGGTCGCCGGGTCCTTCTGGAACACGTCCCCAAACTTCAGGGCCTCTCCTCCCAGCAGGGCCATGGGGTTCTCCACGGAGAGCCGGCGCCCCCTCCTGGCCGGGGCGTTGGTCCACATGTGGGTTCCCATATGAACCTGAGGGGAGACAAGGCTCAGTGAACACCTTCATCCACAGAACAGATCCATCATTCATCCATCCATCCATCATCCATCCATCCATCCAATCATCATCCATTCATCCATCCATCCATCCATCCATCCATCCAATCATCATCCATTCATCCATCCATCATCCATCCATCATGCATCCATCCATCCACATATCCATCCATCCATCCATCATCCTTCCATCATCCATCCATCATTCATCCATCCATCCATCATCCATCCATCCATCCAATCATCATCCATTCATCCATCCATCATCCATCCATCCATCCATCCATCCAATCATCATCCATTCATCCATCCATCATCCATCCATCATGCATCCATCCATCCACATATCCATCCATCCATCCATCCATCATCCTTCCATCATCCATCCATCATTCATCCATCCATCCATCATCCATCCATCCATCCAATCATCATCCATTCATCCATCCATCATCCATCCATCCATCCAATCATCATCCATTCATCCATCCATCATCCATCCATCCATCCAATCATCCATCCATCATCCATCCATCATCCATCCATCCATCCATCCAATCATCATCCATTCATCCATCCATCATCCATCCATCCATCCAATCATCCATCCATCATCCATCCATCATGCATCCATCCATCCACATATCCATCCATCCATCGATCCATCATCCTTCCATCATCCATCCATCCATCCATCATGCATCCATCATCCCTTCATCATCCATCCATCCAGTCATCCATCCATCATCCATCCATCCATCATCCCTTCATCATCCATCCATCCATCCATCATCCATCCATCATGCATCCATCCATCCATCCATCCATCCATCAACCTTCCATCATCCCTTCATCATCCATCCATCCATCCATCCATCATGCATCCATCATCCCTTCATCATCCATCCATCCAGTCATCCATCCATCATCCCTTCATCATCCATCCATCCATCCATCATCCATCCATCCATCAACCTTCCATCATCCCTTCATCATCCATCCATCCATCCATCCATCCAGTCATCCAGTCATCCATCCATTCATCCATCCAGTCATCCATCCATCCATCCATCATCATCCATCCATCCATCCATCCATCCATCATCCATCCATCCATCCATCCATCCAGTCATCCATCCATTCATCCATCCATCATCCATCCATCCATCCATCATCCATCCATCCATCCATCATGCATCCATCATCCATCCATCCATCCATCCATCCATCCATCCATCCATCCATCCATCATCCATCCATCCATCCCTTCATCATCCATCCATCCATCATCCATCCATCCATCATCCATCCATCCATCCATCATGCATCCATCCATCCATCCATCCATCCATCCATCCATCCAGTCATCCATCCATTCATCCATCCATCATCCATCCATCCATCCATCATCCATCATCCATCCATCCATCCATCCATCCATCCATCATCCATCCATCCATCATCCATCCATCATCCATCCATCCATCCATCCATCCATCCATCCATCCATCATCCATCCATCCATCATCCATCCATCCATCCATTTTTTTTAAAACAATAAACTTGTTAACAAAAAGGAAAACTAATTTCACATATTATTTGTTCTATCAAATATTATTTTTCATTCATCTAAAAATTATTCTCTATGTGTTCATGAATAATCTTTTATTTGGTCAGAAAAAAGCACTTTATTAATCCCAAATGGAAAGAAAATGTTGTTAGGAAATCCCTCCACCAATATACAGTAGGTAACTTATATGTCAGGATTTATTTATGTTACAAAGAGGTGAGGATTATTCCACCCCAGCCTGTTGGAAGCACTCAACAAATGCATGAGTCTGTTACAGGAGAGAAGTTGAGGTAAAAAGGATGTTGGTTGTTTTAAAGTTTCTAATTACATGAACTACCATCTTCATTGGCTCACTGGACAGAAGGGAGGAAACAATATAGAGTCTGTTAGGAGGTCTCATTAAAAAGCATTGGTATCTGTTATCAGGCTGGGGAGTCCGACAATATTGGCAATGGCGGTTGGCCAATAGAGGGCGCTAGGGCGCCGCCCCACCTGCCAAATGACCTTGATTAAGACATAAAAAAAAAATAAAAAAATTAAATCTATATTTTATCATTTATATTCATAAAAAATGGCTGCTCAGTGGAACAGTAGGTAGCACTGCTGCCTTGCAGCAAGAAGGTTTGATTCCCGGCCCAGGTTCTTTCTGCATGGAGTTAGCATGTTTTCCCTGAGCATGCGTGGGTTCTCTCCGGGTACTCCGGCTTCCTCCCACAGTCCAAAAACATGACTGTCAGGTTAATTGGCTTCTCTAAATCCTCCTTAGGTGTGAGTGTGAATGGTTGTCTCTGTGTTGCCCTGCGATGGACTGGAGACCTGTCCAGGGTGGACCCCGCCTTACACCCGTAGACAGCTGGAGATAGACACCAGCAGCCCTTGCCACCTCAGCTGAGATAAAGCGTGACGAAAAATAAAATGGATGGATTCATAAAAAATATTTCAAAATATATTGATACATATTTTTGTGCTAGATAAATATTTAACCTTTAATGACTAGTAAAGCGTCATTTAATTTTGTTAGGAATCCAGTTTGTGTGGGTTGTTTTTGTGTTTTTCTCTCTCCACAACCAGGTGTTGCCCTTTCCTCGTTGGGCCTCCCTGCACACCTGCGGCTCGTTGGATCATTACCGGAGGAGTATTTGAGCAGCTGGCTGTCGCTACCTCGAAGCCAGTGTGTTTTCCAGTTTTGGGTACACTTGCCAAGCTAAGATTAGCAGAGTCTAACCGAAGCTTTGTTCCTCTGAGTCTAATCTTGTTTTTGTCTTTGCTCTTCGGCAGGAAGCCTTTCCTGTGTAACTGGATACCTGGACCTTCTCCCCCTGGAAGGATTACTGAGTACACACTGAGCAGGGGTAAACCTTCACATGATCCATTCAAGTCCTCATCGGAAAACCAAGTGACAGTCCGCTCGTTTACTCCTCTGGGTCCAACGTATGTCTGCCTGTCCGCTCTCCAATGAGTTCCCTCTCCTCTGGATTAATTCCCCACAAACTGGATTCAAGGATTTACAAGAGCCCCCTCAAACATGAGTTGCTCTTCAGCTATATTCAAGCCTCAGTCAATTTTCCTATGGTCCCAGAACTGATCGCTTTGACCTCTACTTCAGACCTTCCGGTTCCGGTTCACCAGTCCACCGAGTTCCAGTTCCTACTTCTGTGTTTCATCAACATTTAATAAACCTGTTAAACTTTTTCCCTGGTCTCTGAGGGATTCTCTGCATTTGGGTCAGATCGCTTAAACCAATTATGACACATTTTCCCTTGGATTGGTGACGTATTCCACCCTAGGACACAAAAATCTTTGCCCTTTGACTCTCGTTAAAAGTTTTACGTGCGCAGTAGCTCCTCTGCAAAACAGAAAAATAATAGAATATAATCTACTTTTTCTAGATGTTTGTTTATTTGCATAGTTGCTCTTAAATAAACAAATTCTCAAAAAAAAAATAGTTTCTATATATTGATAAAATATAAGGCTGACTAATAGCTTCTCCATTATTAAACTCATAGATTATTTATTTAGGTTTGAGACCCAATATTGGACCAAAATACAAAATTTACCTTCACAGCCTCAGAAGGACAAGATTTATATACACTGGAAAATATCGAAATCTAGATAAGTCGTTATTTTCTTAAAATAAGTGCATTTGTTTTTGGCTTGAGGAGGTAAAGGTGACATTTTGCCAATAGAACAAGACAATTTACACTTAAAATAAGAAAACACAATTGCATAGTCTTAAGTGCATATTATCTAATTATCTTATTTTAAGAGTAAAAATACTAATTCCATTGGCAAAGTATCTCATTTACCAACTTAAATTAAGGGTAAATACAATTTTTTACTCATTTCTAGACCGTTTTTCCAGTGTACAAAAAATAAACCTGGAAATCATTTGTTTTTTTTGTTGGCATTTTTATAGATATATTGTGCATCCATAGTGGTTGTTATTCCTATCAAAGGGTGTTTTCTGCTGTTTTTTAACCAGGCTCTGACGAGGATTGCTTTTATATATTTTTTTATGATTTTCTGAAGAATTCCTCTTTTTTAAATCATCTCAAAAACGATATTTTAAATAAATCATCCAATAAAATGTTCTTTTTAAAGGTTTAAAAAAATTTTCCTGGGAAATCTTGGTAAATAATGAAAAGCTGAGAGTCTTTTGTTTCCTCTCAGTTTCAGTAAGATGTTTGGTTGCTGGACATCAGAAAAAGGTCCAACAGAATGAGGTCACCTCGTCCCGGACCGGAAGACATTTCTGCGTACCTTCAGGTTGCCCTTGGTGGTGAACGCTCTCCCGCAGATGGAGCAGACGAATGGTTTCTCTCCGGTGTGCGTCCGCTCATGGATCTGCAGAGCGCTGGCTGAAGAGAAGTTCTTCCCACAGACGTTGCAGTTGTGCTGTTTCTGCGTTCGTCTGGGAGGCGCCGGGCCGAGCAGAGAGGTCACACCGGGGCTGCCGGCGGTCGGGTACGCTGCAGGGACGTGCACGCTAAACGCAGGTGGCTGCTGCGCTTCCATCACGCCGTTCAGCTGACCCTGCGCAGTCCCCTCAGCTTTGACAGAGCTGGATGAAGACATAATGGGGCTGGAGACGCTCCCATCAGCAGCTGTGAGCAAAGAGCAAACAGTGTGACGATACCAGAGTGTTTTCTGGTTGCTTTAATTCACCAGACATCAGACTTTGGCCTCACCTCTGTCTCCGCTCAGCTGGAACGAAACTCTGTAAGGACTCTCCTCCTTCACGAAGGCTTTGCTTGGATCTTGTGCGGACGCTGGTGCTGATGTTGGAGACAGCGACCGCTCCGTCTTCACAGCAGCGGATAGAAGCTCTAGCGTTTCTGTCGCATTGCTGGCAGCTGTCGGGGGTTTGACAGCCAGGCCTTCAGAGACGCTTTGAGGAGGAGATGTTGGTGCAAATGGAGAACAGGAGGATTCAGACACCTGAGGGCTGTTTCTGCAGCCATTCTCCAAAGTTTCCTCGTATAAGACGGCATCATCGCTCCGGAGGTTTCCGGCTTTGAGGGGTTTCACAGCAAAGCTGGGGTTCCGACCGACTGAGGCATCTGTCATCCTTATTTGATTCTGCTGAGGTGCTACACTTGACGATTCACAGTTTGGAGGTGCTCTGCATTCAGAGATGAAAGGTTTAGATGGATCAACATCATCCTCTACATTTCCTTCCTCTTCGTCCTCGTCTTCATCCTCCATGGAGATGTCGTCCATGTGCTTGTTGCTGCTGAGAGTCTCGCAGTTGTCCGCCTCGGAAACCCGCCCCCCCATGTGCAGACGGACATGCTGCTGCAGAGCCATGGCGTTGGTGAACTTCTCCTCACAGATGGGGCACGAGTGCTGCAGCTGAAGCGGAGGGTTTTCTCTGTGGACCGCCACGTGCGTCTTCAGGTTCCCCTTGGTGGTGAAAGCACGGCCGCACAGCCTGCACTTGAAAGGCCGCTCACCGGTGTGGACGCGGTAGTGCATCCTGAGCGCACTCTGACAGCTGAGGACGCGGCGGCACAAGACGCACTGGTTGGGGTCTGTGATCTTCTTGTCGATGTTCTCCACCAGCTGCTGTAGCTTGGAGGTTTCAGATGTTTGCAGAGAATCTGTGAGGTGGGAGACGGGTGGAGAGCGGGAGGCTGGGGATGTGGGGGTTTGGGGTTCGGTGGCCCAGCTGGGTGTCTCGTCGACAGCATTACCCCTCTGTGACCGGGTGCAGCTGTGGGGCAGCTGGGCCTCATCTGTTTGCAGCATTTTGGAGGCTTCAGTCTCTGAGGCAGGAGAGAAACTGGCCTCACTGCCTTTGTGGGTCGGTGGATCAGAAACACTTTCACCCGGAGCTGCGTGGTAGGGAGACTTCACCGATGCCGCCACACTAACCGGGTCACCAGATCCTCCGTTCCTGGGAACACTGGAGGAAAGTGGGAGCTCTAAAGTCGCAGGGATGGTTGCTACAAGAGGTTTGCTGTCCAACCATGAAGAAATGGGTTTTTCTGGGGGAACAGACATGCCGTAGGGAATCCCAGAGCTTGTTGGCACATTGTCCAGATACTCTGGCACAGGGAAGGGGTTCATCTGGACATGAGGATACTTGTCTTTATGTCTCTGGAAGTGCACTTTCAGGTTTCCCTTGGTGGAGAAGCGGTTGCCGCAGATGTTGCATTTGAAGGGCCGCTCCCCCGTATGGGAGCGCAGGTGGATCTGCAAAGCGCTGTCGCTGCCAAACACTTTGGCACAGAACCGACATTTATGCTTGAAGAAGGGTTCTTCTGGGCTGGGCTTTGTTTCAAACAGAGAAACGCCGGGAAGTTTCCCTTTCCGCTGCTTCATCAGGGCCACCAGGGGGTCGATGGCGCTGGCCGTGGCGGCTATGCTGGCCAGCGGGTTGGGGAAAATGACGCCGCTTGGCGGGCTCTGAGGTAGAAACGGCAGGCTGGAGGATGAGCTGAGGAGACTCGGCTGTGGTGACGGCAGCGAGGGGGAGGGGGTCAGAGGATGGGAGGCGCTGTTTGAGCCGCTGAAAGGAGGCAGCAGCTTGGAGATGTTGGGGGGTGAGGTGGAGGATTCTGATGACACAGAGGTGAACGCGGACGTTCCACAGAAAGACTGCGAGGGGAGACTTTGTGGCTTTTCCAGCACTGAGGGTAAAGATGCGGCGGCCTGTCCGTTAACGGAGGAAGGCATGGTTCCCAACAGAGGCAGGACGGGAGGCTGCGGGATTCCTGGGTTGGAGGCCAGAGCCACTGAGCGGGACACCGGGTTTAACGCTGCTTGTGTTGGCTGCCGATTCATGACGGCCACCTGGCTGCAGATCTGCTCAATGAGCTGCAGCTGGTGGACCTGTTGCTGCTGCAGAGCCAGCAGGTGTTCCAGAATCACTGGGATAGCCGCCGAGGCTGCCTTTCCACCCAGACCGTTGCTCTGGATCCCCTGGGAGAACTGGGCCACAGCCACCCTGGTGCTGTGGAGGATCTCCAGTGTAACGTTGGTGCTTGGCATTCCGTAGCTGCCGGCCGCAGAGGCCTGAGGGGATGTGGACGCAGTGGGGTCTGGAGGAGGGGGGCTGGAGGTGGTCTGTGAGGAAGCGTCCATCTCCATACCTTCATCCCAATCCCTGCTTTCTTCCAAATGATCCAGACTGTCGTTGGTCAGCTCGAAGACAGCGTCTGTGGAGGAGTCGCTGGATGCTACGCTGGGAAGCGGAGAGGGCTCTCCTGTAGACTCCTCGGGCGGATTGTCTGTCACGATGAGCACCATGGGGTCCTCGGTGCAGACTCTCTGATGTTTGCTCAGCTCAGTCCAACTGAAGAACTGAGCGCAACATTTGGCACAAATTAGCGTTTCCTCTCGACTGCAGGGTCCTGCATCGGTCTCCACAGCTGCACCAGCAACTTCTGAGGAGGAAAAACAGAATTCAGAGTTAAAAACCTTCTTTATTATCGTCTTACCATCACAACAACACTTTTTACAGTGCAGCGCAGCTCAAATGAGGCACCGTTCAACCTGACAGAGAACAAAGATACAAAAGTTTAATCCAGAGATTATCTGGTTTCTGGAACAGATTATTGGAGATTTCTGTTGTCAGAAAAAAACCAACCCAGTCAGATTTAGTCCTGGTCCAAATCTAATACTAAGACAGAATTGAATGATGTGGACATTGGAGGATCCTATGGCTGATCTTCCCATTTTCTCTTCTTCATCTGTGATGGTAAATTAACCACAAATCTTTAATCCAGGGGTCACCAACGCGGTGCCCGCGGGCACCAAGGGGCTCTCAAGGACCACATGGGGGGCCTTCTTCGTCTTCTGAAAACAGAAGAACTCACTCAGTGGGTTAAGTTTAGTTTTTTTTATTCTGTTGCTCTTCTTTTTATTCATTTTTGTATTATTTCATCATATTTCAGTGGTTTTAAAATGACAATATTAAAAAGAAAATTAGAAATGAATAAAAGAATAAAATAAGAATAAAAATGAGTTTTTATGGATGAGTTTTACTGTAGGTGAACACTGATCCCTCCAGTTCATAGGTCAGTATTGGTAGCCCTTCCTATGACTCGGTAGCCATGAAGTAGCCCTCAGCCTTAAAAAGGTTGGTGACTCCTGCTTTAATCTGTCTTGGCAGGTGCAGACCCACCTTTCTGATACCGATGAATATCCAGTGCACAATGAAATGAGTGGACTCTAATGCTACGTTCAGCCCGCAAGCAGCAGAAGCAGCTAATTTACATGCAAAGTCGATGGTTGACGCGCATCAAGACACAGCAGAAGGTCCTGCAGTGGGAGCATCGCCTCATGAGCTCCTGAGCATCTGACGCGTGCCATGCACTTCAGAAGCAGCAGCTGCTACAGCTGGAAAAATTACAATTTAACTTCAGCTGCTGGGCGCGCAGCATCAACCAATCAGAGGAGCTGATCTGGGAGCTGGCAGGGAGTCAGACGCAGCACTGCTGATGCAGAGCGCTATGATCACTCCTCTGAAACAGTTTATTAACGCCTAAATTAACTTCAAACGTAGAAACCTGCTGGCAGAATATGTTGGCTTTTATTATCCTGCTGCCTGCAGTTTGGATTACGTACGTGAGAAACGCCTTTCACCCGCCGCAAACAGCCTGAGGCAGCTGCTGCTGGGGATTCCCAGTGACAGCGCAGCGCCGGTATGTGGGGGTCTGAGCGGCTCCCACAGAGAAATAATCTTTGAAGGCAGGATGGTAATCTGGATGAACTGACTGCACAGACCATGTTTTCAGGAGGAATTTCTCACTTCAACATAGATTCTAACTACTTTCCACCCGCTGATCACAGCTAATATAGCCGCCATTGTTCCAGGCAGAGGAAGGATAGGGTAGCTCCGCCCACCGCGCATTAGACCCACTTTACCACCACGCAGCCAGGGCAGCAAAGATGCTTCAGCCACGCGTCAGAACTAAACTTGAACAAGCTTAAAAAATGACGTGTTTTTGCTGCTCCTGCTGCAGGCCTCTGAACGTAGCGTAAGGCTGTTAAACCTGAACAGTAAACTGGGCTGGATTCATAACACTGACAGGCAGAGTCAGAGCAGACTCTTCCTGCTGAGCAGACAGAGGTCTTTTTCAGTGAACACCTTCTTTGGCTTTATAGTATTGTTTGTCTGAGCAGTAGCTGATCTATAGCTGAGAGGATAAATCAGGAAGGCCAGCTCTGTTATCGGATTCCCCGTTATTTCACTGCAGGTGGCGGAAGACAGAAGGACTCTAGCAAACATAACATCCCTTTTGGTCCATGCCCTACAGTGATGCACCAAGCTGTTCCTCCTTCTGCATCCTTAAATGCACAGAGGAGCATTATTGCAGATCCTTCCTCCATGCAGCAACTTTATAAGCTTCACTGCTCCCAATAAGCTCAGTAAGTGTTTCCATACCTGCTGCACAGTTTCTTTGCTCACTTTCAACAGCATCTCTGCTGTAGTTTATGGAGTCGTTATTCTGTCAAAACTGCACAAATATAACAAACAGTGAAACAAGCAGCATTATTTAAAACTCAAATGAACTCCCCCTGGAGCTTACTCCTTCTCTGCACCTGTAGATCTCTCCTCCTCACCTGTGAACCTGTCTCTGTCAATGTTAGGGTAGAACCAACCTGAGAAAGTAAACTGCCTTTCATTGGCTACTTTTCAAGAAAATACCCCCCCTCTACGCTTTTCTTTTGTTAGCAAAGCATCTTTAGGCTGATCGCTGTTATCTTCTTCCTGCATGTTCCTCCATAATAAACATTTAACAATAGATGCAAACTGATTTAAAAAAAGTAAATGTCTGTTTTCAACTATAGACGAAACCTGTTTATGCCTCACTTTCCTCAATATCAGCAGCAATGCTAACGTTAGCTTAGCTCATACAGTCATTTTAGAGGATATTGCTGCTGATGTCAGAACATTTATTTTCTGTTTTAAAACTTATGGACAAAGGACATTCTTTGGAGGACCAGAATGTTCACACTGGGACAAAGAAGACAGGTGGTTTGAGAGGAGCGTGAAGGAAGCCATCATGTTAAGAGATGTTAAGCCATGCCAACAATTTCCTTTAACGATCCCCCTTTCAGAGACATAGACATAGGGATGCACTGGAAAAAAATCCAAATCTAGATAAGTACTTTTTTTCTTAAAATAGCTGCATTTGTTCTTGGATTTAGGAGATAAGAGAAACATTTTGCCAACGGAACAAGACAATTTACATTTAAAATAAGAAAAAAAAGCAGTTGCATTGTCTTATTTCAAGTGCATATTATCTAATTTTCGTATTTTAAGAGTAAAAATACTAATTTCATTGGCAAACTATCTCATTTACCCACTCAAATTAAGGGGAAATACACTTAATTTAAGACATTTTTACTTATTTCTAGGTTGTTTTTCCAGTGTGGAGCATTGCAGGCTAACAAAGAAGCCAAATGACCCCCATTCCAAAATGGGGGGACCCGTTCATCCGTTTCTATTGCATGATTTCTAAACAAAAAGAGGCCTTCAAGCCTTGAACTCAACGCTTTTTCTGACATTTTGAATTGAAAAAGCTCCCTGGATGGAAGAGAAACGTCTTCAAACTTGGAAACAAAGTCCAGTGGATTGTTTTAAACACTTTTTGGAATCACTGTTTTAAACAATTTTTTAATGATGACTCCATTTAACAAATGTTTTACTCTTTTAAGAAAATTTCGGAATAATTACAGGTGCATACTTTTAGGAGAATTCTGACTTCATACACTCTGCTGCTTTAACTTTCGATGGTTAAATTAGTATTTTTAAATGAGTTGCACATTTTTAATAACTGCACAGTATTAATGTTGAAGTCCATGTGAATGGAATGTTACCATTGTCTTTTAAACCCATTATAGATGTCATAAATGTTTACACTTTAAACGTGTAAAATGTCTCCCAGCCATTGAGACAACAGCAATCCGTTGCCATAGTAACCAGGGAAGTTCTTCCACTGGTTGGACTGAATTCCGGCGGACGCGAGAAATCTGGTGTCTTTTCATTACGTAGGACCTAATTTTACATCTTTCTCTGACTGTGACTAACTGGATGTGCTCTCTTCATCCTCTGACATGGGAGCTGGCTCGGAGCTCGTCTGCCTGGCTGTGTGTTTCCTGGACGGGGCCGCCTGTGGAGCTGGTTGACAGTTGCCTTTTGTATCTATGCTTCTTTTTCTATGTCTGCTTCTGTCTCCTTGAACCCCAGTGGGCCTCAGCAGATGGCCGCTCACACTGAGCCTGGTTCTGCTGGAGGTTTCTTCCTGTTCAAAGGGAGTTTTTCCTCTCCACTGTCACTACAAGCATGCTTAGTTTGAAGGATTGCTACATAATCGATATCTACTGCTTCTGCCTGCTCATCCAGGAGGAGAAAATCCTTTAAAGTGAATCACTGGATGCAATCAGCTGATTTTCCTTGGAGAGAAACTTTGATCATTTAATCTGACAGGATGATCTGATTGATCTAGATCTATAAAGAGACCTGAGATTATAGAATGTGAATTTGATTGCACTGAATTCTAATGTTGATAAAAAATCAGCAAAAATCTTAAAAAAATTATTAGTTTTAATAATTTAAAAATAATTTCTAATTAGTGAATTAAATCAGTTATAGGGATCTAGATTATTAACAATCAGATGGAAAAAGGACATTTTATTGACCTGCCTTTTTTAAATATTATTTCTACAATAATAAAAAATATTTCATTTTCCTTTAACAGTTTCTTAAAATGCTTTTGTCTCCTTGAACCCCAGTGGGCCTCAGCAGATGGCCGCTCACACTGAGCCTGGTTCTGCTGGAGGTTTCTTCCTGTTCAAAGGGAGTTTTTCCTCTCCACTGTCACTACAAGCATGCTTAGTTTGAAGGATTGCTACATAATCGATATCTACTGCTTCTGCCTGCTCATCCAGGAGGAGAAAATCCTTTAAAGTGAATCACTGGATGCAATCAGCTGATTTTCCTTGGAGAGAAACTTTGATCATTTAATCTGACAGGATGATCTGATTGATCTAGATCTATAAAGAGACCTGAGATTATAGAATGTGAATTTGATTGCACTGAATTCTAATGTTGATAAAAAATCAGCAAAAATCTTAAAAAAATTATTAGTTTTAATAATTTAAAAATAATTTCTAATTAGTGAATTAAATCAGTTATAGGGATCTAGATTATTAACAATCAGATGGAAAAAGGACATTTTATTGACCTGCCTTTTTTAAATATTATTTCTACAATAATAAAAAATATTTCATTTTCCTTTAACAGTTTCTTAAAATGCTTTTGTCTCCTTGAACCCCAGTGGGCCTCAGCAGATGGCCGCTCACACTGAGCCTGGTTCTGCTGGAGGTTTCTTCCTGTTCAAAGGGAGTTTTTCCTCTCCACTGTCGCTACAAGCATGCTTAGTGTGAGGGATTGCTGAAGAGTCAATGAGTCGATGCAATCAGCTGGTTTTCCTTAGATAGAAAACTTTGAATCAATCTGACTGGATGATCTGGTGAACTGGAAAGTGACCTGAGATGACATGATGTGAATTGGAGCTATAGAAATAAACTGAATAGAATTGAATGTTTCCAATCATTAAAATTTTGACGGTTGACTAATTACACATATTTCTGTTTTACATGTAGTTTAACAATTTCTGCTCTTTCTGTGCAGGATTTCCATATTTTTACTGTGTTTTATTCTAATTTGTCGCTTTGCTGCTGTTTCAACAACAACCTTAAGGAAATAAAATAATATTCTATTATATTTTATTCTATTCCCGAACAGCATCGTTTGCTTTTCATGCTAACTCTAGACTGTTTACATCTACATCTTTCTATGTTGTTAGTGAACCTGAATATTTCTGAATATCTCCATCCAAACTGGACGATTAGAACAGAGTTTACTGGGAGTGATGGGATATAGCCTGTGGGAAGAAAAAAAACTTTAGGAGCAATTAAAAGTTTCTTGTAACTTTTTTTTTTTTAACTGATTAATTGAATAAAGCTCCATGGAGATGAGGATTTTTTTTTCTTCGTTTTGCTCTGAACTGTCTGGAAAAAGACAAAAAGATCAGCTTAAAAATCATTTTAAAATTTTCTTAAAGGTGCCGACAGTGTTTGGATATTTTCTGTCCCTTTCTCTCTTTTTTTCATAAATAAGAAATGAAAGGAAGTTTTAATTTTATAAAATTAGCATTTGACAGCATAAACTGTAATACTTGTTTTTAATTATAATTGTTTCATTTTGTTTTCTAATAAATCTATTCAAGCTTTATTGAATAAAACTTTATTTAAAATCTTCCATTAAAGCAGCTTGATTTATCATCATTTATACGAGACTATTGTGCATCCGCTGCTCATCAATAAGCAGAAATATATAGAAAATTCTACATTTTTGTTCTTGTTTTTATTTTAATTCAGTACTTTGTTGATCTTTTCACTCTTTTTAGAGTTGAAGTGCAAACATTTCGAGCAGCGTCAAGCAAAGCAGGAATCAGCAGGAGTTTCTATCTTGTTTTTATTCTCACTGAGAGAAACAAACAAGTTTTCAGTCTTTTACAGCGCATTGAATTAAACATTCATCGTCTGAAACTCAGAGTCTGGAAAATGGTTTTCCCCCATCGTACAAAACTCCTGATTTGCGTCTTCGTCTTGGAAAAAGGCCAACTTTCTTTTTTTTTTTTTTTATTCTGGATTAAGAGTTTTCTTCTTTTTATCTGGACTCTTTTAAAGCCACTTGGTTCTGCATCCTTTAAGCGGAAAACGCCTCCAAACTGAAGGGTTTCATCATGAATGAGGCGATCATTCTTATAGTGCAGAAAAAGAAACCAAATGTAGCTTTGAAGATGTAGAGTTTAAATTTGGGGAAAACATTTGGAAACAGAAATGTTCCAGTTTCTATGCTATTTCTCTAATTAGCATGTTTTTTTTTTTTTAAATAAAACATAGTGATCTCTATATAATTGATCTGTTGATCAACAATCTACTCTGGACCTGCGTACATGACACTTATGTTTAAGGGAGAACAATAGGGAATAAAAAAATCAGTTAGTTAAATTATCATACAGCTTAGAAGTGAAAACAAAGCTTGTTTTTTTTTTTTTTATAAATCCATGCATGTTGATAATCACCCCCTCCCCTGGAGAAAAATCGATGAAGTTATCGCACATCCCGACCGTTCATTCAGACACATAATGACATTTCAAGCTTTGCATTGATTTTCTGCGTTTCTGAAGCTCAGATCGTTCTGAACAAACCATCCAATCATGTTAACCAAGCAGCAGGTTTCAGCTTTTTTAAGGCGGGATCATATTTCTGATCTAAAATGATGCTTCAGGTTGTTTCCTGAACCTGGATTAGTTATTTTGTTCTGTTTTCTGCATAAATCACACCTTTTTAATGGACCTAGAAGCTCACTGGCTGGAACTAAAAGACGTTAACCGGATGTTCTGATGAAGATCTTTGGTTTTATTTGGTCTGCAGCTGATTTAGAAGATTTCCTACCAGATGTTGATAGTTTCACTGATGCATCTGTGCAGGTTTTACTCCATTTGGAAACAGACAATAAAAGCATAAGCTGTATATTATTGCATCATCTTCTGCCCCTTTAGGAAAATAAGAGCAAAATGTTTCAATGATGAAATGTTTCCTTTTTTTCTCGCGGTTTGTATCACCAGACACAGACATTGTGCTCTGTGGCTAAAAGACACTAATTCATTTAAAGCGGTTTAATGTCAGCTGGTGTCAGATTCCAGGTTTAGTTGCTGCGGTTTAGTCGGACGAAGACAGACGGACTTAAAGAATGAAGAAAGTTTGTTGAAAATAAGAGTGAAACCGGAGCTGAGCTGCGGCTAAAAGTTAAACTCATCGGAGGGAAGCGAGCAGAGTTCTGGTGTCTCTAGGTGGGTGGTCCGAGCACACTTTCACTGTTTTTCTCTCGGCTGTTTAGGATTTAATTCCAGGGAAAACAAAGAGGAGATCAGGTTGGATTTTAGACTTTTAATCCATCTCCAACGATGACAAGAAAGCTTGAAAAGCGGTCAGGGACAGCAAACAGATTCATTCCTGCTTCTTCTTCTTCTCTTTGGCCTCAGATGTCAGAGGAGGACCCCCTGAAGCTGCAGCTGAGGAGCAGACCGGCTCAGAGCTCGCCGTGTGACCCCTGGGCTTCAGAGGGCCACGCTTCACACCCACTAATTGTATTTTGATCTCGACACGGACCACTTGCCCTTCTCAGGGTGAGGCTGACAAAGGTTAAGTCAGCGGGCTCAATCAAAGCCCACAGTCCCTCCTGCAGGGCCGAAGGGAGGCCCCTGCTCACCGAGGGCCTCATTCTGTCAGAAATAAAGATGTAGGATTTAATTCTGCAGGAAAATCTGGATAAATCACTCTGAGGCCTTCAGCATAAAGAAAATGACGGGAAATGATTATAAAATTCTAAAACTGGATAATGGTGATTAAAATCAGATGAATTTTAAGTTGTTTTTTTTTATATATATATAAACAATCCAAACTAAGGCAAAGCTTTAATATAATTTAAGAAAATTTTAAATTAAAGTTTGAATAAAAAAATAAACTAAATTGAGAACTAAGAGGCCTCGTAAAAAACCCAAAATATTAAACTAATTAGAAATGTTGAGCATTTATTTTTAGATCAATAAAATGTCTCTTAAAATAAATTAAAAGTTAAATAGAATTTGATTTAGTTTGGCTTTGGTGTGAGATGATTATTTTCTGAGTCGGCAGCAATAAAACAAGGTTAATTCATTTTAACAAACTGAATTATTTCTTTCTAACCTAATTTTTATTCCTTTTTGAAAATATTTTCCAGCTTCAAAGCAGAGATAACAAAGGAAATTATTTAAAATGGTGAATGTTTGATTGAAAAGCAGCAAAAATTCAGCTAAATCGGTAGTAAATATTTGCTTGCGCTTTTTTTTTATTTTGGAAAAACTTTAAAAATACAATTTAAGATGATTTAATGATCTTTTTTTTAGTTTTATCCTGACGTATTTTGCAGCAGATAGTTTTCCATCCCAGCCTGACCTCCTGCCCCGCAGCCACCTACCCGTCCTGCAGCGCGCTGCGCACCGGCTCTGCTCTCCGTCCTCCTCCGCCTCCTCCTCCTCGGAGCGGAGCTGCTGAGGCTTGGTTTGCTTTCGGCGGGACATGCTGAGCCTCCCGCCGGATCATCTACGAGCAGAGACTGGGAGCCTTCATGGGCAGCGGGGTCGGTGAAATACGCTGCGCGCGCGCGCCGCTGCTGATGCGCAGATTGCGCATGTCAGTGTAATTATGATGGAGGGGGGATCATGATTTGCCCTTCGCTGGGTGATTGGCTGCAGTCCATCCAGCGCGCAGCAGATATTAAAATGAGGGTTTTATCATAATTAGTTCACTTCCTGTCCGCTGCGGGGGGGTTACGCACAGCTCCGCGATCCGAACTCCTCAGCAGGTCATCCTCCTGTTTTGGTTCTGAATGTCCCTAAAGTCCGATGGACCTTTCTCCTCTGAGCTCCCAGAGTCCAGCGGACGCAGAAATCAAAGCGCCTCTCCAAGATCCGGATGGTTTTATGTTTTATCCCCAAACAGCGTCTGGCAGCAGCCGGTGGCAGCGGACTTTGGAGAAAATAAAGTGAGAAATGAAGCAAAGCGGGAGATGATCCGCTTCCTCCATGTCAGATTTCAGCGGCTTTGAAGCGGTGCGTAAAGAGCGTCGCTCAGGTCGCTGCTGGATCCCATCTCAGAGTGGAGGTGGTGGGAAGGGAGGCTCCGGTGTGCCGCTCGCTTCCCCCGCCTCCGGTCCATCATTAGCAGCCCGGCTGCGATAGGCTGCTGCCTGGACGCCACATCAGCTGCTGGAGCCTCTGCTTCATTTCTCACAATCTGGGCCCCCAATCACCTCATTCTGAGGGGCCACTTTGGTTAAAAGCTGTAAACCATTTCACAATAATACTTGGAAGGTCATAAACAAATATACCGTTCAAAAGTTTGGGGTCACCCAAACAATTTTGTGTTTTCCTGAAAAGTCCCACTTATTCACCACCATACGTTGTGAAATGAATAGAAAATAGAGTCAAGACATTAACAATGTTAGAAATTTAAGAGACACTGGTGTTTTGCAGCTTCTATTTAATGAAGATCCCAGTCGGGATCCTGTGAGGCGTCTGTTTCTCAAACTAGAGACTCTAATGTACTTATCTTCTTGCTCAGTTGTGCAACGCGGCCTCCCACTTCTTTTTCTACTCTGGTTAGAGCCTGTTTGTGCTGTCCTCTGAAGGGAGCAGTACACCGTTGTAGGAAATCTTCAGTTTCTTAGCAATTTCTCGTATGGAATAGCCTTCATTTCTAAGAACAAGAATAGAGTGTCGAGTTTCAGATGAAAGTTCTCTTTTTCTGGCCATTTTGAGCGTTTAATTGACCCCACAAATGTGATGCTCCAGAAAGTCAATCTGCTCAAAGGAAGGTCAGTTTTGTAGCTTCTGTAACGAGCTAAACTGTTTTCAGATGTGTGAACATGATTGCACAAGGGTTTTCTAATCATCAATTAGCCTTCTGAGCCAATGAGCAAACACATTGTACCATTAGAACACTGGAGTGATAGTTGCTGGAAATGGGCCTCTATACACCTATGTAGATATTGCACCAAAAACCAGACATTTGCAGCTAGAATAGTCATTTACCACATTAGCAATGTATAGAGTGTATTTCTTTAAAGTTAAGACTAGTTTAAAGTCATCTTCATTGAAAAGTATAGTAATTTTCCTTCAAAAATAAGGACATTTCAATGTGACCCCAAACTTTTGAACGGTAGTGTATGGACATTTTATCTGCAGATTTTTGATTAAACTCATTACATTTAATTAGATTTAACTTGATTTGAAAAGACAAAACTAACTAGAACAAAAGGGTTAGGGTTAGGGTTAATAAAAGCCAATAAAACACAGAGCCTTCCAAACAGACCTGCACCCATTTAACATTTAACCTTTTTACATTTCTAATTGCTGCTAATCAATATATAAACATGAAATGTCCAGGATGTGTGGGGTCCACAGAGGACTTAGCTGGATTTTACACTAGACCTCTGCAGGTCCTGAAGGGAAACTTTTCTGTCCATTTTTGAAAACTATGGACTGAATTTTGTTCCAATGTTGTTGCAACAAAAAGATACATTTTGTAAATAAAAATGTTTTAAAAAGCTTTTTTTAATTTCTCATTTAATTTAACTGAAGCAATCCAGTAATTAAACTTTGAAAAAAGTTTAAGAAATGTTTTAAAATGAAGATTTCTTTTTTCCTAGATTTTCTTTAATCAACTGTAAAACAAATCAAATGAGCGTTTTTCCAAATAAAGCAGAAAAAACTCATCATCAGAGCCAGCGGTCCTTCACACACGACTATGCAGAGAGAGCGCCGCTGCAGACGGGCTAACGTTAGCCCTGGCCGCTGCAGACGGGCTAACATTAGCCCTGGCCGCTGCAGACGGGCTAACATTAGCCCTGGCCGCTGCAGACGGGCTAACGTTAGCCCTGGCTGCTGCAGACGGGCTAACGTTAGCCCTGGCCGCTGCAGACGGGCTAACGTTAGCCTGACGCAGTAAATCAGTAAATGTTCCATATAGTGAAGCTGAAAGTTTAATATTCTCACCTCTAATAATCTTAACTGTACTTTTATTGAACGACGGCAACAGAGAAGAGAACTTTTATCTTAACACTCTGAGCTCTGTGAGCGCTAACCTGGAAGCTGCTGCTGCCGCAGTGCATGCTGGGACAGCTCAGTCTGGAGAACGGACAAGTCTGCTCTGATGCATGCTGGGTAAAAAGGGAGGGGCCAGAACAGCATCCGGGTACTTTGTCCGTCCTCAGTCTGTTGTTCTTGTGAATTGGAACAGTAGGGCTGAGGCTGATGATGCTCTATTGGTCTGCGGGACGTTAGCACCCAGAGCGAAGGCGCTCTTCATTAAGCTACCAGCCCAGCTTCTCTCCTGGGAACCAGCTGAACTTTCACCCACCCTCCCCCATCAATCCCAAACTTTCTCAGTCCCACTCCACCTCCGGATCATTCCACCATCAGAGTCCAGCCCTAGGTTATATCAACTCACAGCATCAAGTCTTCTGCCTGGGTCAGAGCGCCACAAGACTTATTTCATTCATGTCAGCGTGCATATCTCCAGGTTGGATCACAAGTAGAACTTTGTGATTGGTTCTCATAATTCTGTGATTTGTACTTGTATGGTTGCAAAGCTGTTATTTCTAAAGGGGAACATCACAGAATAAACATCTGATGTCACATGACTGTATGAGTTCACAACAAGCAGCAAATCATACATTTATTCAAGTATATTGATTTACATTGACAAATGTAGACACCTACGCATATATTTTTATTGACAGTCATCTTCACTTATAGATTCCATAATTCAGAAGACCTCTGTACTCATAGGAGGACCTGCTAGATCTAGGAAATGTTCCAAATATGGTCGTTCCTTAAAGGAAAAGTCCTCTGAAAGTTCTTTAAATCTGAAATGATTCCATCCTGTTCAATAAATGATCAGTGTTTTTAATTCAGAGTAATTTTCATGTGAATGTGCTTTACTGGAGGCATCCATGTTTGTCAAAGAACACTACTGCCACCTACTGGTTAGTGACGTCACGGTGCGGTATCGGCTGTTGATCAAGTCCCAGTGCTTTATCTGGTGTTTGTCACAACGCGCTATTATCCAAGTCATCTTGAAAACATTTGTTTGGTTAAACTGCAGGTTTCCCCCTCTTCAAAAGGCAGCTTGCTTCCAGAGATTTTACAGGATTTCAATCAGAACACCAAAGTTGATTATTTCGTTTTTTGTCTTTTATTTGAAAGTTCAATCAACAATAGTAGCATTAATAATAGTAGTAGCAGTAGTAGGTGAAAAACCTTTAAACATAAACACAGAGAAATCAGAATCAGAAATACTTTAATAATCCCAGTGGGAAATTACTTTTGTTACACGCTCCAGTTACAGTTTTATATAATATATACACACATCCAACTATACAATAGAATAAATATAAAAAAAAAACATGAAACATTGATTAACATAATTTAAATAACAAAATTATTCCTGAAACAAAATATAAGATTTAAACCCAAAATCAAAGCTATTCAAAGCATTATTCACTGATACATTTTTACATTCCAGTATTAATTTACTTTCTCAAATATATTTCAAATTCCTCTTTTATTTTAACATTTCCTTCTGAATATTCAAACAATTTGTGGCTCCAGGTTAGGAGACTCTCTCCCTTATAATCAGAGGAGGGCGGGGCATGAGTTAGCTTAACAGTTAATGTGTCATAAACATAAATATGTTGCAATGATTGATAAGTTTCACTGAATATTTGTAGGGAGCCAAAACCAGGACCCCGAGGAATGCCTGATTGTTTTATTTCACTCATAAAAAGCTGAAAAAGAGATAAAAAATAGAGTTTCTTCAGTTTTACTTCATGACTTTCATAACTGAACAGATCAATATAAAAAAAACATGTAAAACAATTGTTCTTATTTGGTTTTAGAGGGTAAAGAAGTCCTCCATTCACACCTCACCTACAGAGCTGAGAGAGAGCGTCATACTTCAGCAGAGCTCTAATCCCCTTTCCCCCGGCTTTGTTCCCAAACTTGTAATTATGTGGTATTAAAAGATGCAGCTGGGGGCGGACAGAATCAGCTGTTGATAATTGCAGTTACTACACAGCAGCCTGGTATTGATCGGCATGTCTGCTGCTCCCCTGCTATGAAGAGATAAGGAGGCTCCTCTCTCCTGCTGGAATATCATTTCTTCAGTCCCATCCGGTTTCTGCAGACTTATGATGAATAGCCGGAGCGTCCGCCAGCGCTTATCTGGAAACTCGACCCTCCTTGATTCGATATTGATTCTTTGTAAGAGGTGTCGCTACGCACAATCAAACCATTAACTCCTTGTTCATGATCTCTTCCAGATCCTAACGCAGACTCCTGAAGCACCTCTTGATCTACAGTATCGATTATTAGAGGAAGAAATGAATCAGTCGCAGCGCAGCTCTGATTCTCTCTCTGTTTAGGTTATGTGGGTGAACTTTATCATGACGGACGGAGCTCCAGGATTATAGAAACAAAAGTCTGGAGATAAAAAAGTGTTATTTTGATGCTGTGATCAGTGCAGACTGTGATCATCAGCCGCTGCTCTGATGCAAACCTGTTCTCTGCAGGAACGACTTGATCAAAACCTCTTTTGTTTCACCCGTTAAGCCCAACGGGTCCGGTACCGGGCCCAACTGACACCTGCTCATGTTTATCTATTTATAGAA